ATGATCATATAGTCATAAGGCCTAACCTCTTGTTGGGCTCATAACCATTATTTTCTGCAAATGGTCTAAAATGACCATGTTGACCAGTCAACTTCCCATCCCTAGTCTATCACTTGTGAGTCATGACATATATAATGGTGCAAAAACTATGAAGAAAAAAAATAAATAAATAAAAGTTGGTCCTATTTCCCAAAATTGACCATAGTTGACCATATTGACTGGTCAGTTGACATGTTTTTAACAACTGGTCAATAACCCATCCCTACTGGTCACTGATCTGATATCCGTATTTCAAAGGACCCCTATCTCATTCCACTTCTGCTCACACATTGTATCTTCCCTCCAGGCAGTGTTGGACTGGCGATCTATGGGCCCCCTGGGAAAATGCTGACAAAGGGCTCCCACACACCCCCCCCCCCTGCCATAATGCAGACCAAGTGGCCCCCAAGAAATTTCCCAGTATCCCTGTGGGCCAGTTCAACCCTGCCTCCAGGCTATAGTTTCCAAGACCCATAAACTCCCTTTCAATTCCAAAGTGATATATTTATGATCCAAGGATCCAAGGAGTTGACAGTACCTTATTACCTTAGAACATGCAGCCCTAATGGTAAACATAAAAACTTCTGAAAACTCTATTTCATATATCTATTAATGGACATCACAGCCTATGACAGTGACCTCATCGTCCCCTCTTTGTTTCCTCTACCTGTTATTCTCCTCCAGAAGAAGGGCATTGCTGAAAGCCCATCATTTTATTCCTCTTACTTCTATTTTATCATCTAGATTTGCATGTTTTACATATCCCCTCCATATCCAGAAGAAGGGCATTGCTGAAAGCCCATCATTTTATTCCTCTTACTTCTATTTTATCATCTAGATTTGCATGTTTTACATATCCCCTTTCTTGCCTATTTACCTTTTTTATCTTTCTTTGCAACTATTGCTAGCTAATGGAGCTTGTATTTCAAGTTTTATCAGTTTATAGCATCATTACGCAAAGCACAGTCCGAACTAAATTGTGCAGTTTGATTAGCTAGAGCAGGCCATTTGTCTGTCTGAACTCCTACCATGATTCACTTCACTTGACAAACTTCTCCATGTTTTCTATCTTATTTTATGGGCTCTGAAAATTTTAAACTTTTCTGCGGCATGTCTTTCATCCCTTCACCTGCAAGTAATGCCTTCCCTCATAGGTAATGTGTACAAATCCTTTGTCTGTTTCTGTACTTTCAGTTCGCTTGTATTTTTTAGAATCTAGTGTTCTACATTACCACCCTAATATTCGCTATTTTACATCTTGTCATTCATTCAACTTATGACAGTTGAAAGAAGTGCAGATGATTGTGGCACGTGATTCAGGAATTTTCCCCCAGAAGACCTCTCCCTTCTTCCTCCCTCATCAACTGCAGCAACGAGAAGTTGGAATTGCAGCTGGTCAGCATGGAAGGTTTGCCCTCCATCCAAGAAGAGTTATTGCCTCACATCTTCTACCCAATACCATGACCAATGTAACTGATCACAGCCAACGAGTCTTCTGTGGCACATATTCTCGGGATGGCTGTCGGTTCCTCTCTGCCTGCCAAGGTTGGAAAACATGACTTTTTTTTGTGTGCCTTATGACAGCAGGTTTTTTTGTCTTTTTTTATTTTTGGAAATGGATTATTGATATAAGCTACATTTGCATCATGGGATGATTGTAACCCAACTGGGCAGCTGATATTGTCTCATTCAACAAAATAATTATTTGTTGTTACCATACTCTAGGGCTATAATAGAGCAATTGATGAATCCCAGTTTCTTCCAATGCGAATAATAGGCCATGCAGGACATTGAATTATGCATTTGCTATGTGTGGGCAATTGTTAAAGCATTTTTATGGTTAATGCCACTCCATGTCAAAAAGTGAAATTCTGTCATGAATAAGATATGAAGAGAAAGGCTCTTCGTATGGTAATGGGGAGTAATGGGGAGTACCCCATTACCATACCAAGAGTCTCCTCCATACCATCCTCTCAATCTCAGTTTTTTTTGGGTGGGGGAGGGTGAGGGTAAATGCATTCTTGGTACTACTATTTAGGAAAAATAGTAGTAATCAAAAACTTACATTCTGACATCCTTCCAAACTCTCTTAATTTTTCTTAGCTGTTGTCATTTTCAAACAAGTTTGATTGGTCAAGCCTTCTACATGAACTAGTTGCTGAATTGTTCTAGAATTCTTGAATTATTTTTTTACTTAATATAATAAAGTCAGTACATCCCACTGGGATAGGATTTGTGCTTCTCCATTGGATGGAGTAAGTTCACCCATGATATCCATTCATTCCATGCATTTCCTTTATGAAAACAGATACTTGCTTGGTCAAGATGGATCTATCTGTCAATAAACCCTGTAATTACTGTTCTGGGTCTAATGGACCCTGCCACAAAAATTTAGCATTTGTGTAGGCTGCACTATGAACTTGAAAAGTTCAATACTCTGTCTATTTTCTTGAAGACATGTGGCAGTAATTAGGCAAAGTATTTCAAGTTTCTTTGGGAATGAAGGAATAAAACAAAGTTAAACATCTGACCATCCAGATTCTGGTTGTTACAGGCTTAAGCAAACAACAAATGTCAGCTATTTCAAAAAAGAATTTAAATTATTAATGGCAAAAGCCCAAATGGGTTGAATAATATTTATGTAGGCAGACAAATTCAACTTGCCATAACTTCTGGAAAGTAAAAAAATCATAGTTCACCAGTGGGCAGCAGTTTTTATAATCCATAACAAGCTTTGAGATGGTCAGCCTTTCAAGAATGCACAATTGCCCAATAGTAAAGGAATAGGCCTCTTGAATGCCTGGAAGGAACAGGGTTTCCACTTGCCCCTGACGAGGAATAGACCACTTGATTGGTTGGATAGAATGGGGTGCATACTTATCTCATATAGGTCCTATTTGGGTCAAGTGCATTCTAAGATAAATTAAAATTATCAGTCATAAAAAAAAATCATAAAAACTCCTCTCATGTTTCTGCATCTAAGTGGAACTGTCTTAAGAATAATACATCATGAAACTTTTATAATTTTATTACAACAGTTATCAATCACCTTACCAGGAAAACTCAATTGATTGATAGAAAATTTGGGTGTCCCTACTCCACTTTTCCTTTTACAGGGTTTGGCCACATGGTAGACCCCCTGCACAAGGGAAATCCAAGAATAAAGAGAAGCTGAATTCAATGCTGCATTTCCCATTTATCTCAATATCAGACATACATTCAATCCTAGTATGATCACTTCGCATTAGTGATTATTTGATTTAATTTTTAATATTGAATGAAAAGGAAACAGTCTTATCAAACGTTTCTGGAATTTATCATGACCAATCACCACATGCTTTTTCAGCATCCCCTTGGGGCTTCTTTTCATCCCCAGAATCAGTTAACACGTTGACGACCAGCCTATTTTTGCTTGTCCGCCGCGTGGGACCACACGCATTTTTTTGTAAAAAAATGCGTCCTGCCATCAGGACGCATGGTCCCAGAAAACATTTTTTTTGCCAAGTTTTTTTAAAATGTTGAATTTTTTGGAATTTTTATCAGTAATTACAAAATCATAATCTTCTAGAACGTTCTCAACAGTTCCAGAGGGTATTCATTGAAAATGAAATCTGCATCCTGGCATCAGGACGCATTGTCGCCAACGTGTTAATGTGCCACCTACTCCCTGTGTCCCATTCCACCCTGTGATAGTGTAATGATGTTAGGTGGGGTATCCATAAGCAAAGAGATAGACTATAGGTAATTCATTGATTTCTAACATCAAAAGCTTATAGTTACAACATCCAGCAGATATAGGTACATTCCTATGCTGGTTCTTTTGGCAATAGATTACCCCTAGTGGACAATAATGCCCTGCCTCACTGCCAAAAAGGATTGTCCTGGATGACTTGTGGAGGAAGGTATCCAATGATTGGATACCTTCCTCCACAACTTGTGCAGCAGCTACAACCTTGCCATGTGAAAGCAACCCCTATCACCAGAAATTGATTGTATTACAGATTCAAGTCACTCAGAGGTAGTTATAGATGTAAATGTCTCTTGATGAGAGTAGACTAACATCATCACATGTACCTGACTAATGCAGCAAAATCATTAGTAAGACTATGGTCTAATGATATTCTTTGGTTCAGAATTTAGAACCATGTAGTACTCAATAATTTTCCAAAGATCTGTATATATGATACAAAATGTTGAACCTAGTGGTAGTGCTTCACAATAATATTCTACTCTTGTCAGGTGACATTGACTTCTATAACTATCTCCATGCGACTTGAATCTGTAACACAGTGTGTTCCATTTAAAACGCAACCCAACAACAATCATGTACTACGGTACAAAAATGAAGTCTTGTCTTTTCTTGTCTTCAAGAAGGTGGTGGACATTTCCAGCATCTGCTGTAAAGCTGTTCTGTACATTCCTGTAATATTCTTCCTAACAAATAAAAACTATCAAACAACTCGTTTGTCTTGTTTTATTGCTGTTGTACTTTGGATTGTGTTTTAAACTGAACACCCTGTATGATCAACTTCAGGAGATAGGGGCTGCTTTCACAAGGTGAGATAGTAGCTGATGTGTCTTTTCTCAGTAAGTGTAAATCTGCGTGCAACTCCAAGTGCTGAACCTGATGAAGTGATTCAGCTGTCAACTCCACACAATAAAAAAATATCTCATACACATTTCATGCAAGCATGTACCTTGTCTGGAACAAGGAAAGAAGAAAAGGAATTACAGGAATTGGTGAAATTTCACATTTTAATTTGCTAAATGTTTGAAATAAAAAGTAGGAAAAAAGAAACTAAAGCTATTCATAGGTCTTTGTCTGAATATACTCAGATCTGGTTGTTTCACCGGGGTTCTCATTGTTAGGAATTTTGGTTAAATTATTTCAAGAGAAAAAATGGCAAGTTCTAAAGTGCAAAAAAAATATCACAAACTCAAAATTTCAAATAACAGCGCAAGTCATGCTTTCCCCAAAAGGGCCTGGAGAGAGCTTTCATTTGGCACAAGTTTCAAACTTCTGCCTTGTTTGAAAAAGCCCTCAACACAAGTGAAAATAGATTAAATTGGACTTTTCAAATTTGATTACCCATTTTTCCAACAAAGTAAGTAGTTAAAATTTAGTTATCATTGTCATTGGCTAGTATTGCAATGTTGCAAATGCTCCATACTCACTGTTTGAAATTTTGATATACATTTTTATTTTGTATATTTGTATTTAAATTTTGATGTATATATTTGAGGTATTTTTTCAAGTTTTTAAAATCCATAACTTCTTTGAAACACTTTGGAAAAGTGGATTAGTGAAATAGATGCAGCTTTGTCTCAGCTTTCATTTGAGCCAAAAATTATTTTCTAGCTCAATTATGGCCAAAGATAGCTATTTAACCTGTGGGGTCACTCTTCTTCCAGGGGTCTAATTTTGGAGCTGAATATCTCAAGAACCATTTGTATCAGAGTACTGACTTTTTTTTCATAACTCAGAGAGGTCATCGTGTATGAATTTTCTCAAGCAAATCCATTTTAGACACACTACCAACGTACCTGAAATTTGACCACATGAGCAGGAATGCCTCTAGTCTCATCCAGAGGTGGTTACTGAACCATTGTTATGAGCATAGAAAGAAATAAAGGAGTACAAGCACATTATTGACATCACTATCACTTACTAAGTGCTCTGAATATGGCATGTGTTTGAAAGGCACGGACCGCACATGTCAGTTTGCTTGCAGGACCTTATGCTACCATTCCTGTCCATCTTCTGCTGTGCCAGGCATTGCCATAATTCAAAACTGTGATATCCCCTAATAATTTTGTGTTTGCTTTCATTTTTCAATGTATCTGTGACCAGGACTTATCATCCATTATGCATGTCAGTGAAGTCATGGGACCATCAGTGTTGTTTAAGTAGAGTCTCTAATAATTATTCAGCCTTTTAGAACAAATGGAAGTCTGCTGAGGACTCCTGAGAATTATTTAAGATGACCTTTCCCTTTCCACTTTTTTCATTCTCAAAAATCCAGATGGGTGTTTGCGGCTATATGACACGAGTGAGTCATACCTGAAGCTCAAACTCCGGGTACAGGCTCGGGATGTTGGGTGGAGCATTGTGGGAACTGCTTTCAGTCCAGATGGACACATTATTGCCTACTCCAGCTGGTCTGATTCCAGTGAGTATTTCACCTTCCATTGTTGTCCTTATTTAAATATTAGGTTGGCCAAAATGTTCTGCAACACTTGCGGAAAAGTTGATATTTATGCTCAAATTTATTTTTTTAAAATAACAACTACTCTTCAAAATAAAGCCCATCGTTTTCAACAATCTTTTGCCACTGATCTGCAAGCATCCGGATTTGATTGAAGTACCATTCTGCCATCGGCTATTTATCGGGTCCATAGGTCACCAGAATCGAATCATTTGTACCATCGGGAAACAGTTGTGTAGTGGACGGTTCCTTCGCCTTCAGCATCACAAATCTCTTTCGCAGCATCTCTGGTCGAAAGTCGTCGCTTCCAACAATAGCGTATCAAGACTCGAAGCTCGATTTTGTCCAATGTCATCTGAAACTTTGAGGATAAAGATGAACCTGGAACATGATAAACACAAAAACAACAAAAATTGTGCATAAAACACACAAAAAATTAACAAAAATGCACATAAAAATCAACTTTTCGCAAGTCTTGCAGAACTTTTTGGCCAACCTAGTATGATGGAAGTCAGTATTGAGTAGATCTTGTGTCTGAATGTATAACAACAAGAAGCTTTCTGACCATCTGTATGATGAGAATCAAAGACAGCCTGATGACTTAGACCTACTTACCTTTACTCATCTTTCTTATCCTTTCAGGATTTCTTGTCCAACATTGGGATTCCTTCTTCAAGTTTCTGCTGCTTCTGGAACAATAACATTCTTGTTTTTATTCATTCTTTTTATTTATTTGCTGCATATCTTTCCAGAGCTAGGTGCTGGTTTTGCTACTTTACATGCAGTAGGCAAGAGCAGTATGTTTTCTGAGGCAAACTTTTGGAAGCATTAAATCTCTCTCACACCTTTACATGCATGCAGAGTTTCAAATTTTGTGTCTTGCTAACATTGTTTCTTCTCTGATTACAATTATTATTATTTTTCATGAGACCAGGAGTGATTAGGAGCACATAACTGGGGCATGGGTTGGGTTAAGTCTTGTAACAGCATGAATGGGAGGACCTGGTACCCAAAGCAGGAAGAACCCAAAGAGATTCTATAGATATACTATAGATGTACAGGGTGTCCCAACAAATCATAATGACTTGACTTTTGTATGACTTTTTTCATTCTGCACCAATTCTGATCATGTTATATGTATTTGTAGAGCGCTTCAAAAGAATTCTCTGACAATTACTTGAGCACAAACAGTTGAGAATAAATGAACTCACAGCAATCCTTGCAGACACCACTTCTTCGAGTTACTGCTCTAATTTTTTTAGCCACCTGAGTGCATTTGCTAATTTCATATACCGTCTCTCTGGGTTTTGGAAAGAGCCAGCAACTGAGATTCCAGGCAGAATTTTGTGATGGGAGATGCCCACATTGATCAGCAATGATCAATCAGCAAATTTTTTTTAAAGCACATTTTCACATCCATGGTGGCACAAATCAATGCGATTGGACATGCCAAAACTTCGTTCTTTGTGAGTCACTTCATGGACCTTATCTGAATCAGCTCATGAATCTGGAAATGGGACCATTCAAGGACTTGCCGATCCAGGAAAGATGTGTTACTAATTGTTTTTCTTCCTTACCGTGATTTTATCATTCCAATAAATGGTATTTGCTGCAGAACATACCATATTTTTCTATGGAAAGAGTACCCACAGAGTAATTCCTTTCTCATTTATCCGTTTGAGTTCAACTATATGTCAGTTAAATTCTCTCTACTCTAACACTACAAAATGTATAAAGGCGATCAGAATTGGTGAAGAATTAAAGAAATATATTATACATTATTAGAAAATAATAAATATATTATTAAAAAATCAAATTGTTACAATTCGTTGGGACACCCTGTATATTTAGATATTGTCTACCATGTTCCAGTGCCCACCAAAGCAAGGGATAATGAAGAAGATGCCAAAGTAAGAAGCTGTGCAATAGAAAAATGCAAAGTAAATCAAGAAGTTGAGAAATATATATATTTTGTTTTTAAAAAAAATCATATTTGCTAACCCTGTTTGAAAGGATTCCTCATGAAAGAGAAGGATTTATGCATGATGTACAGGACCACTGCCATGTGCACAGATTCTCTGGACTGTGACGTTTACGCTAGACTCATGTACAGGGTGAATCAGTAGTCCTGCCTGCCTTTGAACGTTGATAACTTCTCAATGCCAGATCTGATCAAGATGCAATTTTCACCATTCGAAAGACTAGACAATGCTATATCTAAAGAAGGATTTTTACATAATTTAGCTGATGGTATCCTTTGGAAATGAAAATCCCTATTCTGGGAATTATATAGGGCTGTCACGATGGCAGTTTAAAAAACATTGATGTATCGACCTGAACCTGACCTGATAGTGTATCGATGCATGGGGGGGGGGAATGCGCGGAAGGATTCAATATTTCTCGTCGCGATTGGACGGAGGTTTGTTTTCCATTGTTTCTTGCCTCGATCGGAGCGCAGACCTCTATTCGTGTTCCATAGTCTCACACTTGTGATCAGTGCGTGCGTGCGAAGGTGTGATCATAAACAAACCATGCCTCCACCTACTGGAGGTGACATCCATTCATCGATGAATGCATCACGACAGCCTTAATTTTTTATTATTGCTGTTGAGAATCAGTTGTCAGCCCGTTAACGTAATTTCTTTTCTTTTTTTTCGTTCTACACGATCTTCTTTGGAAATCGACACCTGCAGGTAGCAACTTGCCAATGGTATCATACTGGCAGTTGCCGAAACATCAGACAGCCCTAGAATAAGCAACGTCCATATAAAAAATTCACTTTGGGTTCACCTTTAGCAAAGAGGCAAAACACACCAGGACAAGTTAAAAATTAAGAAATGTAAGCCTGCATCCTAAAGAGAAAGACAGGAATATATAGAGGGGGACTAACCAATGTACATTTTGAAATCAAGGGAGTATCAGAACAGTCCACTTTCGCAGCATGCACTTGATGAGATCGAGCCGATGAATGAATGAAGAGAAAATAATATTGGTCTTCCCTCCCTCACCCTTCCCTCTTCCTGTCTCCAATCCAGCATGTTTTCTTTTCCCTTTCCGTTTTTCATATAGTCAGTCCCAGAATTTCCAGAATTTGATTGTCATAAGAAATTGCTCGCCCATGCTAGTCATGCCACCGCCTCCTTCCCCCACCCGGACGGACTGTATTGTACTGTAATCGCCTCAATCCAATGCAATGGGACATTTCCCCTTTAAAATCATTTGCCTATACATCATGATGGTCGAAAAAACAATCGATACCTCCAACCATCGATAGTGGTATCGATGCATCGATCTATTGTGACAGCCCTAGAATTATACATATGTGTGTGTATCAAGACATTAGTACCTGAAAACAGACTTGCAGCACTGTCCAATTGTCTGTTCAAGTGGCAGAGTTATTGTGCCTTGCAATCAATTACAATTCAAGGAGAATTGAGGAAAATGTCTCATAAATGATTGACCATTGATAAGTGAGTTGCAATGGTTCAGCTTTATTCTAATGTAACAGAAACTGCTCCACATTGAGGACGAAATTCATCAGAGAAACTGTCAGCTGCAAGTTAATCACTCATATAAAATAGAATTTTGACAGGACGAAAACCATAGTTGACCTTCCCCAATCTGGACACCCCTCTGACACTTGAACAGGTAATTAGACATGGTGCTGAAAGCATGTTTTCAGATGCCAATGGTTTATATGACCTTCCTTAGATTTAGAATTGTCTATTCTTTTGAATGGTGAATATCACATCTAAGTCAAATCTAGCATTGAGAAGTTATTGATGTTCAAGAGGTGCATGAGACTTTTTACTCACCCTGTGCAATGTCAAATTGGGGCCTCCAAGGCTTCCAAGATGTATCTGAATCAAGGGGGGTCAGAGAGACCTCTCTTAGATCTGCACAGAAACACATTTTGGGGGGTGGAACACCTTGCACTTTTGGGTATGCTGTGTAAGTCAACAGGGTAGCGAAACGCACCTTTGGCATGGGAAACTGGGCAAAACCATAACATTGCGAAATCCGAAAATATCCTATACACCAAAAATCTTTCCTTTTTGTGATGGGTTTTGTGGATTCGATGTCTGGGCATCTCACATTAGATCAGAGCTGTCATGAAAATCCTTTTTCTGTCACCATTATTCCCAATTTTTTCATTTCAATTCCTAACGATCCCAGTTCATCCTCACTGCATTTCCCCTTTTCAGGTATCTCAGTCTAAAAGAGTTCTGGTAGGTACGAAGATCCCAATAGCCAATGGATGGACATGCGGGTACTTGTAATTGATAACTTATTCCACAACTGAGTATTTGTGAATACTCCTTCATGAATGAGTTTTTGAAAGAGACACCTTTCCTTGGGGATCTTCGACGACTGTTCTTTTTTTGCATCACCTGAGAGAAATGAATTTATCTCAGCTTCATTATCCCCTGTGCTCTCTTCAGCTTCTGATGAAGGATTTCTTCCCCTAAGCAATGAGCATTCATGGTCATCTGGTACAATGATTTTATTTCATTGTATCCATTCTCATGAGATGAGGAGACCTACTGGTCCTCCATTGGTTGAAATGAATCATCAGACCGCCAAATCGTAAAAGAAATTTACGTTTGACATTGAACATGAACGTGGGAGGTTGTGTTGGATCTTCAGCCAGATTCTCTTTTGGAACTGCATCTTTTTTCAAGCGCCTTATAGTGTTTTGATTACAATAGGAATCTAAGGAGAAGGGATGTGAGCACACTAAAGCATATCTGGGGATAGATTTTCTTCCAAGTGATTGAAGCCATTCATTTCCTCTGTCTGGAAATATTTCGTGCCTACCAAGTCCTATAAATATTCTTTGAGGATGTGACAATGCAATCCTTGCCATTGTCCTTCATAACATCTGCTATTAATAGAGCGAATGAAATAAAGGTACCTAAGAATATAATGGAAATCAACTAACAGGTCGACAATTTATGTACGATGCTGCCTAGGTGGCTCTGACAAATAAGAGTAGATGTATTAAGGCTGCGAGAGACATGAGAAAGTGTGTGCGACCTGTCTTGTCCTCAAGCAGTGAGGTAATAAGATCATGAAGGGCAAAGCATCCGCTTTTATAGTGGAATATTTCACTGACATCATCACACGAGCAAGATTTTACCCCCCTCCCCCCCTCTCCAACCCCCCTTGATCTGAATGCATGATGTCTGCATTTCTGGACAAGTAATCTCTGGGAGCAATAGTAGCCACTGACATGCCAATAAAGAACTTTTAGTTGCTAGAGATGTAGGTATGTTCACTCAAAAATGCATTCCAGTGGTTTTACAATTATGAAAAGAGAACTATGCCTATTAAGTTAAAATATGAAAGAGAAACTCACCTACAATCACCAGAGGATACCACATTGGAAGAGGACAGGAAGGAAACACTGGAGAATGATAGCATATCATTTTGGATTTTATTTTGAAAGCAATGATGTCTGCAAATATGAATGCTAATCATGATTGAAAGTTGCATAAAATGGGGGCTGTAAAATATATATTTTTTAAATATCCACATAGGTGGACACAAGGTAACAAAGGGTTGATGTAGGAAATGAAACCTTGTCTGTACTATATGAATTGAGTGTAGTGTAGTCTTATGGTGAGACTGAACCACTTCATGGCTTAGCAATGGCTCCTTCCTTTGAATCAATATTTTTAATAATACCATCATGTTGAAATGGAGAAAATGACTAATACCACTCCATATGTGATCTTGCAGGGGATGCAATACCTCAGAAAAGTCCATATACAGGGTGGTCCATAGAAGTGTACACTTTTCAATGCACATTTTAGGTGTGATGCTTTCAAGAGAATTTTTGCCAGTTGCATGTAATGGAAGGAAGAAAGACTTAGCAACAAAATGCTTTTTATAGAGTTGAAATATCTTAAATGATGACTTTGAAAAAAATAAGATTCAATTTCAGTTATGAAAAAATCAGCGTTGCCCTCACCAACTCAACCCAACATCCCCTTGATGGCCCAAGACTCACAAGAAGAGGAAAGGAAATGCTGACCTCAGCAGATGTCGTGAGGGTGATTGGATATGCCTCCTGCTGTAGTTGGTTGTTGAGTGCAATGCTGATTTTTCATAGCTGAAAGTCAATCATTTTTTCTGTCACTGTTTAAGATATTTCAAGTCTGAAAAAAGTATCTTGTAGCTAAGTCTTTCTTCTTTCAATTACGTGTAACTGGCAAAAAATTTCCTTGAAAATATCACACCTAAAATGCACATTGAAAAGTGTGCCCTTTTTTTGGCCCACCCTGTATAACATGCACTCTTTCTGCCAACCACAGATTTATGTGCTGAATATGGAAGATTTTGTGGGGAGCCAAATCTAGTATTGACACATGCAGATGGCCCCTTGGGATATTGTTTGACATGATCAGGAAATAGTTTTCATTTTCTTCACCAGGCTTCCCAGCAAACAAAAGAACATTCAATCAGCATTGTATGAATGTTAATTTTTAACCTTCCCACCATTGTGGTGGTGTTGCATCTAACATTAAGTCTATATTTCAATGTCGCTTATCTGAATACTCAGATGAACATAGAAGTTCAACACTGGCTGAATGTTGGGCCAACATTGCAATGTCACTTATTGGAATGTTCACTCCCACCCCTAGTATCACCCCAATATTGAGTCAATTACTACAGCTAAGGAGTATATATATTGTTCAGAGTGTACTAATTATAGTTTCTTTTTAGGGAATGGTCCTTCCATTCCTGCTCTGCAGAGTACCCAAATCATCCTTTCCTTCCCAGGGGAAGAATGGTTATTCTGCCCCCAATGATGAGGAAACAACCCAGCAAACATACTAACATTCAATCAGTGTTGTATGAAAGTTAATTTTGAACCTTCCCAGTGTTTGGTTGGCATTGCAGCTAACATTAAGTCAATATTGCAATGTCGCTTATCGGAACACTCAGATGAACATTGAAGTTCAACACTGGCTGAACGTTGAGCCAACATTGCAATGTCACTTATTGGAATGTTCACTCCCACCCTTGTAGCATTCCATAATTGGTCAATAATGAAGGCAATGGATTAAATATTTTTCTGAAAGTACTAATCTTAGTACTTCACAGGGAATGGCCATCCCCTTTCTGCTCTGTGGAGTACAGAAACCCTCCTTTCCTTCACTGAGAGTGGAAAAATATTTCTCCCTCTCAAATGCGAAGAATAGAGCCAATGTATATGATTGAGTTTGTACTAGTAGAAACTCTTTATATGTACTTGTGCACTGGGATGCAAGGGTTTCTCATAAGGAGTATGGGCTTATTTATTGCCTGGGCTCCATGTTTCTGTCTCAAATATATGGATAATGAATTAATAAGTGTCAGATTTTATTGATTGCTATAATGAGGCAATGAAAAACATATGGTGAGGTAATAAACAATCTTGTGAGGGATGTTTCCATGGAAAGAGGAAAGTGTACTTTTGTGTACTGTGCGAAAAGCAAAACCCATACCTCCATCTAGTGGGCCAGAGAAGAACTTCAGCATTTCCTCAAAATTAACTCATTGGAAATTGCCCCAGTAGCACCCCAATATTGGGTCAATATATATCACCAAGATCCGCCAAGATATATACATCTTGGCTCTGCATTGGCACCCATCTTGGACCATTGTTGGCATTACTACAAGGAAAAACATCGGGCCAATATTGGCGTTAATATTTTCCCTAATTTTTTTTTCTAGTAGAGGCATTCCAATGGTGAAGGCATTTCACTATACAGTACTTGTACGGCCTGTACTAATATAACCCCTTGCCCATGCACAAGTCTCTCCTGTGCATAAGCTGGAGACATAGAACAGTACAGAGGTAGACCGTCCCTGAACGTACTAATTGTAGTACATTTCAGGTGGTCAACTCCTTATTGTTCTGCGCAGTACTTGTAATTTCAGTCCTTCATTTCCTCATTACGTCCTCAGAATGAGGAAAGGAAGGATTGATTCCACAAATACATTATACATTCTAATACTCCTTTCGGATAGAGGAAAACCACGTTCGTAGGGGCTCTCATAGGGAATATGAGCTTGATTATTTCCTGGACTCCATGATACTCCATGATAACAAATGATGAATTGTCCGACTTTATTGATTGCTATAATGAGACTAGGTGAGACATATAGCGAGGTACTAAACACTCCTGTGAAGGACAATTACAGGGAAAGAGAGAAGGGTACTTCTGTGTACTGTGAGAAAAGCGAGACCTATACCTCCATCTAGTGGCCTGAAGGGTAACTTCAAGTGCGGTCAGGCACATTGGATCATCACGTTGGTCCAATATTGGATGAATAATCATATAGCAATATCGGAATTTAATTGTTTCCCCAACATTCAGGCAATATTGGCAATATTGCCCAAGACGTAGCCAACGTACCCAATGTTGGTCCAGCATTGAGCCAATATCTGGTGCTACTGGGGTAGGAGCTTTTCCAGCTTTAAATTACTCACGTTTGAAGCAAGTGCAGCAACCCTCTCTCTTGTCTCCTACTTGCCATCCTCCACTCTGGGATTGATGACCTAATATTTCCTGTGCATGTATGTGGAATTCCATGCTTACAGTATATCTGCACCTTTGGCCTATTCCATCACACCATCTCACTCATTCCAATTCATTCAAACACTAGACCTCTCTCCTGTTTCTATGCTCCCTCCTATCTTTCTTTGGTGCAATTTATGTACAACAGGGTGTGAATTTTCATGGAAGGCTGGGATGCTGCATCATGGCACAGGAGAAGCACAAGCATTGACTTGTGATCTAAAAATATTATAGTGTGGTGGTTCTCAAACTTTTTATTTTTTGCATCACCCTAATGACCCCTGCTTGGTATCACACCCCTTTCCCTTCTGAGAGGAATACCAGGAAATGGAATCTACCCTCAGATGCTTTCTTAATATAATAATAAATGTAATAATTATTCTAATTCTAATGTACAAGAGGGTATCATAAAATAAGATTCCCTAATTTTTTACTCCAAACTTATTTATTTTAGCAACCAAGACATTATGCATACAGATGAACAAATACGAGTACATCAACTATTTTTCAACATAGTTGCCAAAATTATTCAAGCACTTTTATTTTGTGAGCTCTGATAGTCTTGGGTAAAAAATTAGGGAACCTTATTATATAATATTTCCTTGGGTGAATCAGGCCAAACTGGAGCAATTGCCTGTCTTCAGACTTTAAAGTTCCATTACTCTGGCAGTAATGAATCCATCTTGATGAAATTTGAAACATCAATAAGTCATGTCAGAACAATTCTTTCAATATATTTTGGCATTGTTTGAAGCTTTTTTCTGGGACACACCTAACAGAGAATAATGGCAAAATTGGGAAGTCAATATTGAGCCAATATTTAGCCGGTATTGGCAATAATGGCAAGATGCATGTAGACATCTTGCCCAATGTTGGTCCAGCATACACCCAATATCCGGTATTACTGGGGTAGTAACACTGGATAGGTTCTTTGTCGTTTGGCGAAAAAAAAAATTTTTTTCCCCTATTTGGTGATGCATATTCCATGAAACTACCATACAAATTATTTTAAAATGCGATTTAAAAAGATATCATAATGTCATAACATGGCTACAATATTCACACAACATTGACCTTTGACCTTCAACGTCGATGACACTGTATTGACTCTGGGGGAGCGTTCCCACAATATTACTATGTTTGCTGGGAAGGGCCTGAACAATATACACAATTAAGTTTTAGAAGATCCTTTGAAGCATTTTGATAAATGCATGGAAGTGTTTCTCATTAGGAGTATGAGCTTGTTTATTGCCTGGGCTCCATGATTCTGTCTTGAATATGGGGATAATAAATGATTAAGTGTCAGATTTTATTGATTGCTATAATGAGACTAGGAAAAACATATGGTGAGGTACTAAACATTCCTGTGAGGGATGATTCTATAGAAAGAGGGAAGTGCACTTTTGTGTACTGTGCAAAAAGCAAGACCCATACCTCCATCTAGTGGCCTAGAGGAGAACTTCAACATTTCCACACAAAAAAAACTTCTATGTGCACTTGGGCACATTGGATCATCGCATCAGTCTGATATTGGATCAATGATGGAATGGCAAAATTGGGAAGTCAATACCCAGCAAGCAATTTAAAACACATAACACTGAATTAATGTTGAATTAACATAAAATAAATGTTCAGAACGTTGATACAATGTTAATCCAAGGTAGCCCAGCAAACAAGGCTACATTGGACCAACGTTGTATCGATGTTCTGAACATTTATTCAATGTTAATTCAACGTAGATTCGACGTTATGTGTTTCAAATTGTTTGCTGGGTAGCCTTCCCAGCAAACAGTAACATTGTGGGAACGTTCCCCCAGAGTCAATACAGTGTCGTCAACATTAAAGACCAAAGGTCAACGTTGTGTGAATTATGTAGCCATGTTATGACATTATGATATCTTTTTAAATCACATTTTTAAATAATTTGTATGGTAGTTTCATGGAATATGCATCGCCAAATAGGGAAAAATATTTTTTTTTTGCCAAACAAAAAAGAACCTATCCAGTGTTACTACCCCAGTAATACTAGATATTATGTGAATGTTGGACCAACATTGGGCAAGATGTCTACATGCATCTTGCCATTATTGCCAATACCGGCTAAATATTGGCTCAATATTGACTTCCCAATTTTGCCATTCCATCATCGATGCAATATCAGACTGACACAATGATCCAATGTGCCCAATTTCCAATGAGGAGTTAATTTTGAGGAAATGCTGAAGTTCTCCTCTGGCCCACTAGATGGAGGTATGGGTTTTGCTTTTTGCACAGTACACAAAAGTACACTTCCCTCTTTCCATGGAAACATCCCTCACAAGAGTGTTTATTACCTCACCATATGTTTTTCATTGCCTCATTATAGCAATCAATAAAATTTGACACTTATTAATTCATTATCCATATATTCGAGACAGAAACATGGAGCCCAGGCAATAAATAAGCCCATACTCCTTTTGAGAAACCCTTGCATCCCAGTGCACAAATACATGAAAAGAGTTTCTACAAACTCAATCATATACATTGGCTCTATTCTCCGTACTTGAGAGGAAGAACTTGAGAGAAGGAATTATTTTTCCACTCCCAGCAAAGGAAAGGAGGACTTCTGTACTCCACAGAGCAGAAAGGGGATAGCTGTTCCCTGTAAAGTACTAAGATTAGTACTTTCAAAATAATATTTAACCCATTGCCTTCATTATTGACCAATTATGGAATGCTACAAGGGTGGGATTGAGGGTTCAAATAAGTGACATTGCAATAGTGACTTAATGTTAGCTGCAATGCCAACCAAACACTGGAAAGGTTCAAAATTAACGTTCATACAACGCTGATTGAATGTTAGTATGTTTGCTGGGTATTTAGCTGGTATTGGCAATCATGGCAAGATGTATACCCAGCAAACAATTTGAAACACATAATGTTGAATCAACGTTGAATGAACGTTCGGAATGTTGATATAACGTTGATCCAACGTTACCTTGTTTGCTGGGTAGAGACATTGTGCCCAATATTGATCCAACATTGAGCCAATATCTGGTGTTACTTGGGTGGTAACACTGGATAGGTTCTTGGTCATTTCTTGAAAAAAAAAACAAAATTTGTATTCCCTATTTAGCAATGCATGCTCCATGATACTACCATAAATATTATTCAAAAATGTGATTTAATAAGGTATAATAATGCCATAACACTGCTATAATATTCACACAACGTTGTACTTTGACCTTCAATGTCAATGACATTTTATTGACTCTAGGGGAACGTTCCCACAACGCTACTGTTTGCTGGGTTCCTACAGTAAAGTTATACACAGCCAAAGTTGACCCATTTAGAATGAGGTACTCCCTAGAATTGTGACCTATATGATATTCCAGGGTTGATTCTATAGGTGTCCAGTCAATTCCCCAAATGGTTATTTCCCCATCAGTCAAATACCTGATTGTTAAGCTTCCCATTTAAAAAATTTCCCAGCCTGCAAATTCCCCATGACTAATTCTTCTATGGTGATCCAACAATATGGTAGGACTAGGGCATTGCAGTATGCAATACATTTCTTGGTAGGTATACCATAGCTCAATACTGTGGTATACCAGTGAGGAGTGGGGGGGAGGGGTGCTTCAGTTATGAACTCTAAGAGAAAAAACCATGAAGATAGCTAGCCTTTCTGTTGCAATGGCATTGAGTTAGTCACTCATTCATATTTTGCCATTCAATTGAAAGCAAGGAGATTCATTCGTTTTAACCCAAATGGATGGATTCAGTAGGCATGCCATGATAAAATGATTGAAGTTGCTAGGAGGACTCAAGTTATGGGTCTCAGAAAAAAACATCAAGGAAGAGAATCCATCAGGATTGTGCAGGTCACACATTTCATATTGGTATTGAGTGCTCAGGCTCATCAAGCAGAGGGTAGTCAAGGCACAAGTGTACCCTCAAATAACAGATCTTGGTCCTTGAATCCAGATTAAATACACTTTGGTGACTTCCAGGAAGGCTTCAATTTTCCCCAGGCAGTGGGCATCACTGTGGATGGAGATGAGAAACATAGTTGACAACGTTTTTTATTTTTAGGAATGGTTCTTGGTGTGGCACTGTGGCAGCAATATAATTAGAGGCAGTGCCCTACAGTTTCCATACTGTGGTGATGGTATGAACATGGATGGTATTCCACAGTTTTCACACTGTGGTGATAATGCAAAAATGTAGAAGGGGTCAGTATGATTATCATGAGAACCTAATACCACAGTATCATGAAAATACCAGTATACTGCAATGCCCTAGGTGGGATGCAGTATAGGGAAAAAAAAATTTTCCCTGTGAACCTGAGGCAACAAATTGAAATTTCCTGGGAAGGATATGCAAGCAGACTAAGCAGGCCACCCACCTGTGCATCTCTGTTCCCACGAACCTCGTTCACAGGTTGACAAGGGTTTCCTAGCCTGGTGGGACAGATACAATTTGAAGGACTAATACCAGGATTTTTACATTTGATTTATTCAAATTAAAATTTTCCACCTTCCATATCACAGAAATGGTTGCAGGATAGTTCACTCATCCACAAGAGATGAGACAGTTGACAAGATGTTTAAGAAGATAAAAAAAAAGGGAGTGTATCTGGAAAAGTCAGGTGGTTTAGGAAGCAGATCAGGAGTATGTAAAGAGCAAAAAGGGAAAGACTCTTCTTGTTCTTGACAAAATGAGCAAGTACTGACCAGAATGCTTTCAAATTGTCTCTACAGAAGAAAGGAAGGACACTGCAGTTGCAGAGCTACAGTATAAATAGAATATGTTGTCCACAGATGAGAGCAACACCTAGAATGGGGAAAAACACAACCATGGAAGGTGTTTGCCAAGAAATGATGCCAAGAGCAGACAACAGAAAGTGGGTTAGTGCAATAACTGGTGCTGGAATTTTAGAAAAGCCAGAAGAGAAGGGGAGAGGAATTTATTTATGCACAAGACTATTTAGTCATGGATTTGTAATATCAGATAACTGACTGATCAGGGAATTGACTAAGAACTGATTCTATACATCAAATACAAGAGGATGTCATGAGCAGGCAAATTCTTCACACAGAAGGAAACAAAAAACTTGTCATTTCATGATTGAAATACATTAGGCAGATCTTGCTCTTGATTCCATGACAGATTTAGATCAAAACCCACATATAAAAATCAGCATCCAAGCATGGGAATTCTGTATGTTTGGATACTGATTAACTCACTGAACTCAGGGCAACCTTGCCTATCTGACTGTGGTATTTTTGCTGTTGCTCTGATGTCAATTGTCTAGTCATTTCTAACAACAGCAAGCAAGATTCTTATACCAAATGCTTACTTTTCCTTCACAAACTTAATTTTACTCCATGTAAAAGAGAAAAGCACAAGGAATCAATAATATCCTAGAAAAGTCTCTGAAATTTCCATTAGCCCCTTGAACACATGATGCACCCATCACGTCCCTCCATGACGCATGTGCATCATGGAGGAACCATGCAACTAATGTGCATGATGCTCACTGGTTGCTCATGGTGAGTGCTCATGGGGGAGAAAATGATCAAAAGAGGAAGTAAAGTCAGAGGTAATAGCATTAAGTAGAGAACTTTAACAGAAACAAAATATAATTTATTTAAATTCAAAATTCTGGTGTATGACAGCAGGAAATTGTCCAATGCCTGGTGTATTCAAGGGGTTAAATTAATTTGAAAGTGAGGACACTCTTTGAAAAATTAAGTTTTGCCATGATTCCCTGCCTCTGTTGTAAAGAAAAATATTAATAGCCAGCTTTTCCATTTATTAACGGTAACCTGCTTTCAGAAGTTTTGAAAATATTTGCTTTTAAAATGGTTAAGTGAAAGACAGCATATATGGAAGGGGAGAATGGGTGCTATTTAATTGCTTAATTCAGAGAAAACATGACAGCTAATTGTCTCATGGAAATACCTGTAGAGATTCAGTTTCTGTAATGTATGCTGGTAGAAATCAGTATTTTAGGTGGTCTACTTTTGTGTCCTGCTTATTATACCAATGATGCCATTCTTCAACCATTTTTATCAAAGTGATTCCAGCTGAATTTTTACATTTCTAGGACACTGCAATCATAAAAAGTTATATTCTTTTTATCACACAAGAGGTTGTTCAGGTGGTTGTCTTCAACCTTGATCATTATTGCTTTTTTTGTATCACATTAATGACACTTCATGTGCATTCTTCACTAACCTAAGTCTATGCTTAATGAGTGACTTTTGAAAAATAAAGTTGCAGATATGATCGTATGATAGAAATGCCAGAAATGTGGCTAGTTACCATTACATAATGTCATCATTGCCAATGGGTAGAGTTTCAAGCAAGCACACAGGAGGTCAAGGTTTAAATCCATCCAGCAGTAGATGGCTCTCTCTTGGGCCAACAGTTCATCTAGCACCTTTATCTTACTCCCTGCTCTTCTTTGGATTGCAGCTCGTAGGTCACTTTGTTCTTTATGGTGTGAAATTAGGGGTTTGATGCACTTCAATAGCACCTGCTACTTCAGTCCTGATGGCTAATGAACAATGATGGATGGAATGGGCCTAAAGTCATTGAAGTTGCCATGATCTTCCATTGACCTGTGAAAACTTTGTGCATTTGGAAGTGTGACAATGCCATTATGGATATCTGATCAGTTATTGCTCTCCATTTTAAGTGTTCAGTTCTTTGTAGCATTGTCCTTGTCTTCATGTGGCTGTTCCAGTTAATGGTTCAAAGATAAATTTTTCTTATTGCACACTACATTTTGAGTTACTTTTATAAGTCAGTCTTTATACAATGTCTTATTTTAGCCTCTTACAGTTAACTGCCTGATACTGTAGTGATAAATTTATGCCATGCTGAAACTATTAGACAAAGAGCTAAAGGTGGGGAATGGGGTCAGTATAGCCATGAAAGGGTCAGAAAAAGTGGGAAAATCTTCATTGTGCATAAAAATATTGAGTTTTAGCTGCAGTAGTTATATTCTTCAGCAAAAAGAGCAATTCATTCCCATTAAAAGTTCCTAGGTAAATTTTTAACCATTGAAGTTCCTAAAGAATTTGTTTCTGTAGTTTATTGAATTTGCCTTTATACTGTTCTAATGAGTCCACACAGACAACATCAAATCAAATCCTTTCATGAACAATCCCTTCACCATTGAAGTTTCTTATTCTGAGGTCATTGTGAATTGCAGTCAGGTTCAGGTCAACTCAAGCTTAAGTAAAAGCAAACTTCCAGAGTCTGGTGTTCAGTCTTGTTCCTGATGTCCAGTTTTGGTATGGTAACAGAATCAAGACTCAGAAACACCTCTATTCTCTATCCACATAGAAGTAGAATTTTGATGAGCCAGGGTTGCCTTTCTATGTAGTCAATTCAGTTGTTTGTTTGTTTTCTAGTTCACCTGGTGAAACTGTGTAATTGGAAGGAAGACAATCATAGGGCACTGCCTGTTTCTCCTCATATGCACTCCTTCTGCATATTCTCACTCTCGTTTTCACAAGATGGGTCTGAAATCATGGGTGGATCCAATGATGGAGCTATCTATGTATATGACATAGATGCTGATAGGCTCATGCTCAAAGTCAGAATGTGTCCATTAATATCACATGAAGTAATTTGATCATGTGCTTACCTGACAAAGTCCCCTATGGTTCCTTCCAGGTGGAGGCACATGATGATGACTTGAATGCCGTTGCCTTTGCTGATCAGTCCTCACACATCCTGTATAGTGGAGGAGATGATGGCATGTGCAAGGTCTGTCTTCTCCACAGAGAGAAAGAAATACACAGACTCTCTGTTGCCATGTGGATATTGACTCATGATTCTGTGCCAGGTGTGGGACAGACGGGCCTTGAATGAAGCAAACCCAAAACCAGTGGGTCAGCATGCAGGACATGTAGATGGAATTACATTCATAGACCCACGAGGGGACAGCCGCTATGCCATCACAAATTCCAAGGACCAGACCATTCGTCTATGGGATATGCGTGTCTTCTCAAAGGATGCTGACATCTCTACTGTAAAAGATACCCTGAGCTCAAGGTCTACCATTTGGGACTACCGCTATGAGAACATCCCGAGAGCCTGTATGTCACCAGATCTTTATCGCTTTAATGCCATCTGGTTCCCTTTCTCTAATCTGTGATGTTCTGCAGTGGTTCAGAACTCCCTACGTGTGAGGGGTGATGGGTCAATCATGGTATTTCATGGGCATCATAGAGTACAACACACTCTAATTCGCTGCCGTTTCTCACCTGCTTTCACCACTGGGCAAAGGTTCATTTACTCTGGTTCTTCAAAAGGAACTATTGCCAGTCAGTTTGTCATACTCTGTCAATAAAAAGCTTTTGAGGGCTCATTTAGAACAAGAAGAAATTCTAAATTTTTTGCAGTATATGACATTCTTACGGGAGACATCCATCAGGTCCTGGAAGGACACTCAGGTTGCGTTCGAGATGTTGACTGGCATCCACATCGCATGGAAATGCTTTCCTCTTCTGTGAGTATTAAAGATATAAGAAAACAAAATATCTCAAACTTCCATTGTCATTCTGCACTGATAGTGTCTCCATCAAACCTTACCTATTTACTTCACAATTTCCATATAGAAACTGGAATAAATATCAATCTGACACTGAGTTTTAAATTTTCCTTTATGTTTTTACAGTGGGATCACAGGATCGGACTCTGGATGCATTCACCAGACTTGGATGACCATCTAGATAATACTTGAAATCTGTGATTTTACCATCAGTAGCACTTGCCTGTGTTTCCACCAGGTGCCTCTGTGTTTGTTTTAGTGCAGTTCCTGAAGCATTGACTTAAAAGCCGGTCTTTAAAGGATGTTGAATCTGCTGCTCATGTGTCTCTGATATTATATATTTTTTGCTTGTAGTCCCTTACAATCTGAGCTTGGGTGCAGCAATGGACTATTACAAAGGGACTGTGAAAGATTGCTACCATGCTTCATTTCATGGTGTCATTTCAAACTTGACACCTTTTCACCAATTTAGTTTCCATAAATTAAATTTTTGAAGACAGAGAAAAAAATTCCTATATATGAATACTCTTATACCTTAAGAATCAACTAGGGAAGTGACTTTTCTGAAATGAATTGAAATTCATCTTACACAGTAATACAAAGTTGTATGTGCTTGGTGTGAATGGTTATATCTTTTTCTTCCATTTCATCTTTTTTTGTGTGAGGCCCATTTCTGAGGAAAGGTATTGATAATCCACCTAAATAATGTACCAGTAAACATTCATCCCCAAAATGCCTGTACCTTGTATTGTTCCACTGACAGGTGAACTGATTATTTTCTTTCTCACCAGCACCAATTTCACCTAGTCATGTGATGAGCATCAACCCTTCAATATGTTCCATAGGAAGCTCTGTGTACCTTTGTGATTACAAAATTGATGCGTGATTTTTTTTTGGTTAAAATGTGTTGTTAACGTACGAAGGTGAATAAAAGAGACTTTGCGTGTCTAATCATGAAGTTCATTTTTTAACAAATATTTGCAGATGCTTAATTATGCTTATAATATTCTCAGACAAAACTCTCCATCTTGTTGGTTGGAAGAGATGTGAATGAAGCATTGTCCATGTCCAGCCTTCCCACGCTTTGAGTTCGACTGAGTCCGTGGAGACTCATGGTGTCAAATGGAGGGGGTCTTGCACGCATTCTTGGGATTCCCGAAGGGTAATCCACATGGTCTGGCGGAAATTCAGCTCGAGAACGTGCACCCTCGTACCACTTTTCCAGATTTCGGAGACTGGAGATAGATCCGACCTGGGAGTGGAGGAGCTGCGGTGAAGACATACCATACGGGGACGGAGTATTGCAATGGAACATCGGTGGAATTGCTTTTGGAGTTGCTCCTCCTTCTATATGTTTCATCTTCTTCTTCAGCTTATACCTTTCCATCTCTTCCCACAGTTTCTTGGGGTGCTCCTCTATCTCACTCTCGATCTGGAAAATGACCCGTCCGCCTCCATCACTAGTAGAGTCGCCTTCTTCCAAGGCGAGGTCTCGGAGACTCATCCGAGAGATATTTCTCGGAAACTGGTTCATGCCCATCTCCTTCATGCTGCTGCGACGACTTGGCAGCTTCTTTGAAGTCATCAAGGCTGTCCTCAGCTGATCGAGGAGGGTGGCATCGGCGTCTCGTCCCGTTCGACGTTTTCTCGACAGTCTCTTCTTTTTTCTCTTTTTGGCATCTTCGACGGTGGACACTGTGGTCCCACTGGTGCTTTCTTCATCACTCGACTCATCACTGGTCTCTTCCTTACCCTTCTTGGGTTTTACCGGGTTCTTGGGTTTTACTCGGTTCTTGTGTTTTTTCTTCTTGCCACTTGAATCACTATTGCTGGATTCCTCACTTGTTTCCCTCTTCAACTTACCTTTCTTTTTTCCTGTTTCATTTTTCTTCTCTTTCACTTCAAGATCCTTTTCCTCGTCTTTCACCTGCTTCTTGTCTTTCGACGGCTTCCGCGAGGGAGCGAAACTTCGCTTCGACTCCTGGCTCCGTCGCCGCGTCGCAGGGTCGCTCTTCACCGATTCCTCTTCCTCGTTAATGGGGGTCATGGGTGGGGGTATCCCCCTGACGGTTGAGTTCCTTCGCTTCAGGTGATTCGAGATCTCCTCCTCCAGCCACTTGCGGAGGTCGAAGTCGGGGTCTTCCTCGTTCTGCCGGAGTGCCTGGCTCAGTCGGAACTGCTCGTCTTCGGAGATGCTGCTGAGCTGGCCTTCTAGCTCGGAATCGGAGTATTCGCCGAATCCTTCCTCCTCGGCTTCCCGGGCTAGCTTATGCTTTTTGCGGATCTTCTCGCAGATGAGGACGAAGAGGCGGTAAATCTGGAGCGTGGCCACCAGGGTGTTTTTGCAGGTAAAGAAGATGTTGAGGTAGCTGACCACGTTGTAGTGGAAGATCAGGACCATCCTGAGAACATGATTTGATTTATAGAAAAAGGGGATTTCGCCGTGTTTGAACAAGGCAGCAATTATTACTTAAGGCAGTTCCTACTTCGCCTATAGGGACTCTCTATGGAGTTATCTCTGAGGGGAAGAGTGACCGGAAGACCACCGCAGTTTCATGTACCTGATGATGAGAAATGGCCCGTCTTGTAAGACGACGGTGGTAAGAATGGCGATGATGTCCATGTCGACGATGTCCCATATCCAGCTTTTCCTCTCTTTAGTTTCCGGGTCCCCTTCTTCCAATTCTGGAACCGGTATAGGTTCAGGCTCCGGAGTCCAGGTCATTCCTAGTCGCTGCTTCCGCCCCTTCGTCGCACTCATCACCAGGGTGAACTGGGACAAGGACCATGTCCACACCCCTGTACATCACAGAATGCGAACGTCTTACAAGTCTTCCCTAACGACTGCTTGACTTTCTTAACACATTAACCGCCTAGTACGAGATATCTCTGATTTCTAACATTGCATGATGGAGTACTGGATATTACTAATTGCTTTCTTTTTTTTAATTCTGTGGTGTGTGAATAAAAAAAAATGGTGGTGGTCAATGTGTTAAACATTAAAGTTACGCTACCTGGTCAAAACTCCTGTCCGGAGTTGCGTGACAAAACAGGGTTCGAATTTTAAGGGCGATTGAAATTAGATGGAATTCTCAGTCAAATTGAGCTGAGCGAACGGGGAGATTTTCCGCCTTGGAAAACTGAGACTGAATCAATTCCCATCCTGTCGATACCTTCAGTTTATCCCCAGTAGATTTCTCCTAAGGGGAAGAGTGATTTTGGCCGCAGTTTCACGATGAAAAGAGTTGATGCCGGAAAGCTGATTCGCCCACCTGAAATCAATTTTCCCGAATTAAAAGCCCGAGTGACGATTAAAACTCTACTCGACCCAGACGATGAGACTCCAGAGAAAGTGAATCCGAGTCGAGGATATAAAAAATTGACTCAGCGATCACCTGTCGCTACCACGTGACATCGACTTCGTCGTTTCATTGGAAGCCACAGCCTGTCGCATACGGATGCCGTAAACCTGGAGTTCCTGGTTCTCTCGGTCTGGGAGAGGAATGTGACATGGGATGCCGGCAAACCAAATTGCATTAAACGACGCTAGTGAATGATACACTATAGTGTGGTTTTCTCTGGGGAAAATCACAATAATCCATTTGATTTCAATCATTTTGCTACTGAGGAAGTGGACGCTACCATATAACCAGTTGTATATTTGTACATTCTGATTTGGGCATACAGTGCCATCCGAATAAGCTGATCCACGTACGCGCTACTCATGCTTAATTTTCACCCCTAGGTTGATTTAAGCATACGCCCTCAGAAAATTCAATTTAGGCTACGTCGTGTACCCACAAATACACCACTGCTTATAACGCTCTGTACTGTACATTTTCCCCTAGCCTAAACTTCATAACCGAAGAAGATATTAAATACAGTGGCGTAGCGAGGGGGGGGGGGGCTTCAGCCCCCCCCGACGAGAAGTAAGCCCCCCCAACGTTCCGCTTAGCTCCCCCAATGACGAAAACCTGGCTACGCCACTGATTAAATAGTGTTGTCTTTGGTTTCATGAGGACCACGGATCCCACTCGGGAAAATATCCACGAAAGGCCCATCAAAATTAAAGCGATCCAAGCAGGGCCTGATTAAGGGGGGGGGGGGGGGGGGGGGAAGGGGGGNAGCCCCCCCCCCTCGCTACGCCACCGGGTGTCTGGGGGGGGGGGGGGGGGGGGGCAAAGGGGACTGTTGCTCCGGTCCCCACTCTTCCAGAGGGGCCCCCGAAGGAAATTGAAAGCATTAAATATTAGCGTAAGTACCGAGGGGGGTAGCCTCAAGAATCCACTTGCACCGGGCCCCCCAACTTCTTAATCCGGCCCTAGATCCAAGAATTGAATGGAAATGGGAACGATCAATACAAAATGCAGTGTGCACTTATGATCATTGGTAAATGCCACCTTTTTCTCGTCCGAACAGGCCATGCGGTGCATGATTTACATGGCCTAATTGCACGCCACTGAGCTAGAACCAAGAGAGGAAGCGCTGACACATCTGACCGAGGATGTAGAAAGTGAGCTCCTTGTTGACGATGACCTCCTTCTCCTTGAAGGCCTCGAAGAGTTCAACGATGTCCGCCGCCATGGCGATGTAGACTAGAAGCAGTTGAGACAACTGGTCTCGGGTCAGCTCCCCTGTCGTTCATAAAAGTTCGTGAGATGAGGGCATCGTGGTTTTTTACATTATTTTATTATACTTTTTTTTTGGGGGGGGGGGAACGTGGAGGGGAAAATCACCTTTGGGTAGAAGCCATCTGCCGACGATGAGGATCACGAGCAGCATCTGCTCTAAGATCTTTGCCCACTGCTCACGCGGCAGCGCTAACGGCAAGTACTGACCGCAAAAAAAAAAATGTTTTAAATTAAAATTTTTTTTCTATCGGTGGAGACGAGATTACTGGAATGGGAACGAATGAAATGTACAATGTCGAGAAGTCGAGAGAGCGCCTCCTTCGTGCTCGGGTTGGTGGGCGGAAACTTCTGCATGGAATAGCAATCGGTGGCATTCCAGCTGGCGGAGGCGTTCGCCCTACTCGACGCCAGGTCCAGCTCCAGGATCCAAATCGGCGGCACCACGGAACATAAGTAGAAGAAGACGCTCGGGCAGAACCTGCAGAGACGAGATAAGTGGCGTGAGCTCCCACGGCACCGTGGTCGTCAGACTCGGTCGTGTGGAGCGTGTCGTTACAATAGTACGGTTCAAAATACACTCAAATGGGCGGAGTGGCAAAAATCGGTGGAAAATCCCATCGCAAACGTGACTCGATGGTATCATCGTGATGTGTCGATTTATACTCGTTCATTAGCGTGTCTACTGATTGAATGCAGGAGGCATGCAGTTGCTCACAGTTACAAAGAATGTTATTTGCGCGAATTCAGCATTCAGCGAATTCAGAGTTTCGTCCAGTGGCGCAGCGAGAGGGCTGAGGGGCCTCAGATGGGGGGCTTACTTCTCCTCGCCCTCCACCCACCGTTCCGCATAGCCCTTTTGGCGAAACCCTGGATGCGCCACTGACCTCGTCGCGTCTTTCCTACTTTAGACGGCAATGATTCGCTTTTTTAAGGGTGACTTTATTTCATGTTTTTTTTTTCCTTCTATCCTCGCATACCGATGAGATTATTCCGAACCTTATTCCGAACAACGCAAACGTTGCGGTTCCGGCTACTATCCAACATCGTAAAAATTTGTAAATCCTACCTGATAATATACGGGTCAGAACCGCAGGGTTAACGGCAATTGCTAGATGCAGCTGACCCCCGTCGAAAGGGTAAGAACCGCTCTGGTCTCACCTCACCCCCATGACTCAAGTTGTGGAGCCACTCAGTGACTGACTCCCTCGAAAATCCCTTTATTTCCGGGTTCACATTCGGTTAGAAAAGTTGAGATGGGCACGACACGGGAAATGATTGTTATTTGCGGCTCTTGAATGCGCCCGGAACAATAAAGGAGCCACGGCGAGACGTCACTGATCACGTGATCAAGGTAGGTCTCATGTGGTCGTAAGGGGCATGGGGGAAAGATAACTGCGCTCGCTTTTCGAACCGGAAGTCAAAGCGGAGGTTGTTCCCTTTCCCCACATTCTTCGGAGCCAGATGCGACCGACCTGCGAGGCGAGATGAGGAAATTGGGAAAGTATGACATCCTAACAATGGCGTGTGATACCCATCGAATTCTATTTCCTTCTCTAAGTGATGAGTCACACTCACCGACACTTTCATACTCCGAAGCCTGTTTCGCCAGATATCAAGGCCATGATACCTCATCGACGGGAAAAGGAGAGAAAAAGTGGGAAAAAGCAAACGGCATTCTTAGGTGGATTTTTGAACAGAGCACTATCCGATAATGCTGCTTTATTTCAGAGAAAATGCATTGTAAATCGGGTAAATAAAGTTGCATTATCGGAGAGTACTCTGTCCAAAAATCCACCCTTAGTCGCGAATTCTCCACTCTGACTCGCCGAGCCGAGAAAGTGAGGACTGGGAAAGTCATCATTACTAGATGTATAGTGAAACCCCTTGTATTCCTTCCTGCCTTGTATTGAGCTGTCACCGACGACGCGTCTAGGATTTTCACATAGGGAGGGATCTGGAGGCTCAAGCGTCGGGCAGGCGGGGGGAGGGGCCCATACTTTCTCCCCTTGTTTAAGCCTCGGGGAGAGGAGGATTAACAAGTTATTTGCTGGGGTGGAAGGGCGGATGGCGACAAAAATAGGGTCAAGGATGAGTGCGACTGTCACAAAGGGGGGGGCTTTGAACCCTGTCTCCCCCCCCCCCCCTTCCCCTAGAGACGTCCGTGGCTTGCACTGATCAGGGAGTGACGAGAATGAGGAACTCGTCCTGGCTTGACAACACCATCTGGTGGCTGGTCGCGGACCCACTCAACCCCTCCATCTTCTCTTCTCTACCACATCATGCGAATGAAGACCAACCCTCTCACCCGATCATCGAAAATTTCTATATCCCACTCTGTATATGTCACTTTCCCCACTTCATATCCTTCTCTTCTGTAAAGGGTATGCAATGTAATTAAAGGTCATTGAACAAAAAAAATGAGGAACTCGTTCATCACCGGCCTCGCATCCAAAGGTATTAGAGGCCTGCTTGGAAGTTCTAATGTTGCGAGTAGACACGTTTTAGCAAGGGGCATAGATAGGTAGCATTAAGAAATCAGTCATTCTCATCGATTCAAATGCTGAGGCTAGTTTAAAACTTACAAAGCTCTCATTTCCTCTCTCTTTCCTTTTCTGCAAAAATTGCACCAGCATTATGAACGAACACAGGACACCAACCTAAGTGGTTTACAGTCTATACTTTTATGTTACCTTACATTTCAAGGGAGCTTGTATTTGTTTTACATGCCGTTCTGAAACCGCAGAGGAGCATGCTAGGTATGGCAACAAAAAAAATGTTTTCTCACTGGAGCTATTTTCACGAAACATCCACGGTGCATGTATTGCTATGTTCTCCGCAGAAAAATTGACCCCCAAAGCATAGCCACGAGCAATTCTTCAGACAAGAAACTCTCATTCTTCCTAAGTGCCTCGGTCTCGCGTGAAGACCAATGATAAGAACGAATAGCAAATTACGAGCAAACTCTGATTTCATACTAATATCATTGATTTGAATAAATCTCTTCAATCTTCAAGAAGAGGTGAGCCTAAAAAATGAGCTTCAATGGTAGAGAAGTTGGATGTGACCTGGATGATTTCATATTGCCCGTTGCTTGGCCTCAGAGCGGCAAATTTGGAAGATTTATGGAAAATATTGCCATTCATGCATCACGAAGCAAATATACAGGGTGTCCCATAAGTCACTATACCATTTCAAAAAATCACATGTACTTACCAGTTGATGCAAAAAAAGAAGTAACATTAACAGAAAGTTAGCATGTCATTTGGAATTATCGTTGTAAAAAATTAAGATATTTCTGTGCTTTGAAATTGCCTCAAAATGCCCCTTGCCCATATCAATACATTTGGCATGAGGCTCAGCGCCAAAAAATCGCCGGAACTCCCTTTGAACTCTGTGGGACTCTCAAAGACCTCCATCCAGGTTGCAACTTTTTTTCGTTGCTCCAGCGTCAATTTACTCATGATTGTGAAGGCAAATTAAATTAAATGTTTTCTTTTTCTGTTTCTCAAGTGTATCTGAAATTAGAAGAGAAAAACATTAAGTTTAGCAATTTTGTAGAAGAGGATTGAACAAGGTGTATCAAAAATGTCCTTTAACCAGCACACAAATTCATTGTCGTGAAAATTTTCTAATGAACGTTCTTTCCATCAATACCCACAACGGTGACCTGCATGTTGTACTTTGGAAAATATTGCAGTTTGAAATGGTGTAGTGACTTATGGGACACCCTGTATATTGATTAAAAGCCCTTACTTTTGCCTTATCCTGTGCCATTCACTCCCGTGGTTTCCCCAAACTTCAAGCAAAAGTGATGGTCCCCATTTCANCCCCCCCCCCCCCCCCCCCCCCCCAAAAAAAAAAAGAGTTTGATGAAATGGGGACCATCACTTTTGCTTGAAGTTTGGGGAAACCACGGGAGTGAATGGTGCAAGCATGCACCATTCCAGTTTAACTATTGATAGTTAAAGTTAAATGCGACGGACGGATTGATGGAATTGAGTGGTGATGTGTACTCCGCGCTCGCATTCGAAAAGTCCTTTTCAACATCGCTTTTCGTTGATTTACTGCCGTTTTTTCACTTTACCCGCCTTGACGAAAATCGGTAATTGCAAAATTCATCTCTCTTTCTGATGAAGGAAATTGGTTTAATCTATTACCCATGGTTTTCCCTATTTTACAAAATGTTCACTGGCTTGCCTTTTTATTTATTTGGGTCATTTTGTTAATCGTCTTTTTCAGACTTGTCTTTCAGGTGAGCCAAAAGACAATTTCCTAGCTCAATTATGACTGAAAATAACCGTTAGACTGAAGGGGACATGCGTCAAAAAGCCCTGCATGAGAAGCGGAGGGACGCCCGCGGACGCCGAGCACCGGTCTGAACAAAGACACTGTGCCTCCTCACCGAGAGGCGGCGTTTCTCGAGGACGATTTCTCGGCCCGGAGGCCTGGCTCTGCGCGACTTTCCGCTCTTTCCTCAAGGATTCGTTACAGGGGGACATTGTGGATCCGGATTGGCTTTGAGTTGTGCCGTTTTCAAGTGGTTTAGACAGGCCACGGCAGCTTTCTGTGAACGATGGGAAGGCCTTGACCCCTGGCCAGCATTTTTCAGTTGGGGGCAGTTCGGAAATGTGGGTTGGGGGGGGGGGAGGGAGGGCAGTCGAGTAATTTTAATGCTTTATCCATGCTTTTTCACATTGATCGATATTTATATCTTGCATTTAAAGAAATCTCTATGCAGAAAATGCCCCGCAAAGGTTTCGTTTGGAAGGTTAGTATAATAAATGATTCTCGAGGAGCAGTCACCTCCCTCCCCGCCCGCCCTGCCGCTTGCTACGAGCCTGATAGGCCTGCAAGTCGACGAGTGTGTGTTGGCACTAAGGGGAACTGTGTGGTCACTGAAGCCTCGGTAAACGCGTGACTGGCAGCAGGTATATACGACCTGTCTACGGTCTGGGACATCAGTAAACAACGTGACGGTAGCACGACGGGTGCTCACTGCGTTTTAAGGGGGTGTAGTAGTCATGTGCCAGCGGGCGGGAAAGTTGGACCGAACGATGTCGTTTTTGGAGCAGCCCCGCGACTGCTACTTCTGGACCTGCACCACGGTGCGGTGCGTGATGCCGGATGCACGCTGCAAGACACACCGGTGACTCGGCTTGGCCGGGTTCAGGCTGCCGTTCGTCTCAAGGGGACTGCTGCACTATATCGATGAGCGAGGCGATGGCAATGTGATGTATCTTCATAGATCGGCCTTCACTTTCGGCAAGATGGCGTATACCCATCTCGTATAAAATTAAGGTATGTTCAAGTTCCACCGGTGAATACTTTTTCATTGCACCGCGTAGATGTGTATGAACTGGTCGGTGTGATTCAGGCAGTGCCTCTTTTACTTTCAGCCATGCTGAAACTATACTAAATACAGGGTGTCCCAAAAGGTATGGAAACATTTAAAAAATTAATATCTCTAAATTATCCTCAAATAAGATTATTAAAACAGTAAAATGAAGTGCAACTCAAACAATTTTCAATCTCTATTGCAATTTCACATGGGCACCATTTGTGGTTCTGTAGATGTCTAAGCGATGTTCAAGCTCTTACCACACCGTTTGCAGAGTGTTAGGCATAACTATCAGGACAGCTCGGACGATTCTGTTCTTTGGATCCTGATCGA